TGTACTTCGTCGATCTGCCTGTTCTGCTCCCCACTCTGTCTCTGGTGAATCCTCTCACCCTCCGCGTCTCTGGCTTGTACCCCAGTTCTGTATGCACAAATAAAAAAAAAAAATTAACCAATTTGTTTCAATAAGAGAAATAATTCCTTATCTAAAAGGGAACTATCCTGCCTTTAGTGAAGTTAGTCTACAAAAATTTATCTGCTAGCCAGTGATGGAACAGAAAACACTGTTTTGTTTTTTTTAACTGTAATAAGGAGAAAATCTTCTGATATATGACATGTAAGAGCTCACTTGGGTTTTTCTTTTAGATCCATTGGACTGATTAATATTTTGAAATAATTGAGATACAAGTGCTAGAATGAAAGCAAGTCTCTTTCCTTCTTTCAATCCCTTAGGTGAAGTGAAACTGCTGCTATCCTCTGAGACACCCATTGAAGGGAGGAAAATGTCCTTTGTGAATGACCTTACAGTAACTCAGGATGGGAAGAAGATTTATTTTACAGATTCTAGCAGCAAATGGCAAAGACGAGATTTTCTGCTTCTGGTTATGGAGGGAACAGATGATGGGCGGTGAGTGTCGTTTCACATCAGCTCTGTTTGGTTAAGGTGACTGCAGCAGAGCTTTTTGCTTCTAGAAATTGGAGTGTTTCTTAGAATGATATCTCAGTTTTTAACGTAGAACCTTAATGGCTTCTAGAAGTAGGTGATGAATACAACAAAATAGAACATGGTTTTCTCACCTTTTCTTTGAATAAATTAATTAAATCAGGCATGCCTATCTGAGGTGTGATCTAGGCGGCCGGGAAAGACTTCAAAGGCAGCCCGGATTGCAGGTGTCTCTCTGACAGGGACTTTTGCAAGGCTGGAGCCATGGTGGACCTTCCTGGTGCTGAGCTGACTCCTGGGTCAGTGAGAGGCCTGATTGTGGGTTTTCTCGGTCTACTGTGGAGGGGGAAGGGCTCCCAAGGCCAACCTATAGCTAGGTGCATGCTCAGGGCTACCAGGAGCCCTGTTGCTCCTGTGTGAGGCTGGTCTTCCACAGACTCTTGTCCGACGGCTGAGAAGGGAGCCTGTTGGACACCAGCTCCAACTTTTGAGGTGTCTGGAGGCAGCACAGGCAGGACCCTAAGATGGGAAGACGTCGGCGCGGAGATTCCAAAAGGAGAGAGAGGAGTGGGCACGAGGAAGACACGGGAGTCAGGATAGGGTGCAAGTCTTCCTGCTATCCCTTCAGCAGGTCTTTATTTATACTGTGTAGCAAGTAGTTAATTGTAATAATGCATAGGGTAAGCTAATGAGATATCTCCATAAAACTTTCACAAGGACAAGGGGAAAAAGCATTCTTCTCTTAACAATTTATGATATAATTATACGTTTTGTGATAGTTATCATGTATACAGCTGTCTAGTTATCACTCAAAGGAAGAGGGGTCTGGGAAAGGGTGAGCTTGTTAGCAAAAGGTTGTTAGGGGTTTTGGGGTAGTAATAAATTGTGTTAGTAGTGTTACCAGTGATTGTCTAAAGAAAAGCTAATGGCTAATTTAAGGCTAGCAGAGAGTAGTTAGTGCTTGTTTTAAAAAAGAAGTAAATTAAGAGAAAGTTGTACAGTTGTATATCAAGCAACACCTGTGTAGTCAAGGTTAAAATTTGTCCATGAGTCCTTATATCCTGGGAGCCTTATCTGAGGTTTGCTTTTTTATTTAAAGAAATCAAGGAAGCTTCCCAGGAGTTTTTATGTCCCGGGGTCTTATTTCTCCTGGGGCTTGCATTTTGTCTCAGGAGACAGAGGAATTTCTTCTCCTGGGGCAGCTCCCCTGAACCAGGCAGCCGCCTGTGTGGCTAAGACAATCCAGTTGTAAACTGATGGTTGCTCAGAATATTTTGATTTTATGATTATACAAAAAAGGGAGGTCATAACATAAGTTAGCAGTGGACAGTCTGATTTTTCAGAGCTTATCCCGATCCACCCGGAATCTGTCAGGCAATGGACGTTGCATAGCTTGTGTCAGGAGCCAGGCTCCACTTCCACATGGGGGCCTAGACTCTTTCTGTGTAACTCTTCCTTTGTCACTACACAGTCTGCTAGAGTATGACACCGAGACCAAGGAGGTGAAGGTCTTACTGGACCAGTTACGGTTCCCTAACGGAGTACAGCTTTCTCCTGCGGAGGACTTTGTCCTGGTGGCTGAGACAACCATGGCAAGGATAAGAAGGTATGGGAGGTGTCACCTGAGCTGTCATTTGTTCACCAAAGCTCATCACAGCTGTGATGAGCTATGGAGATGTCGAGTGACAGCCTGAGATGCAGTAAGGGCACCTTCTCCTTTGTGTCAAATGACAAAAATGGCATCCAGGTGTGTAGTTTCTTTCTCTCATCTCTCACTGTTGAGAACCACAGTCTGGGACAGTCTTGATTTAATGATATATGTACATCCTAGCTCCCCTCGCCCTGAGGACTCTCTAGTGGGGCCCAGGACTCCTGAGGAGCTCACTTTAGCTACTGTGCTGCAGTTAATGGTGGACATTGCTTTCATACATTTTGTTGAACTGAGACTGGTTAGGTATTTGAATACAATTTTTCCTTAAATTGGGTATGATGGGGGTGCTGCTTATTGACAGCTTGGGTGGCTTTTTTAGATACTACGTATCTGGCCTAATGAAAGGAGGAGCTGATCTGTTTGTGGAGAATCTGCCTGGATTTCCAGACAACATCCGACCCAGCAGTTCCGGAGGGTATTGGCTTGGCATGTCGACCATTCGTGCCAACCCTGGATTTTCCATGTTGGATTTCTTATCTGAGAGACCCTTTATTAAAAGAATGATATTTAAGGTAACTATGGTAACTATAATTCCAGGAAACAAAATAAAAATGAGTCTGATTATTGTATTTTTGAACTTTTATTCTCTGAAGTTCTTTTTTTTTTCGGCATGTAATACTGATTGGTATATGTTAGTTTTAATTTAGTTTGTAATATATAATGTATGCCATATTGTTTATATTTTATGTAAATATAAATATCACATGATTAGACTGGCTTTAGAACATACTCTATTCTTTCGCCTGAAATATATATTTAAACCTTTAAACCTTTGGATGTTTTTCGTCTAGTTTACTTTTCTGGATATCTTTATTTTCTCCTGGGTATCTTTATTTTCTCCCGCCTTTGGGGGCCTTTCCTCTCCTCTCAGACTTGTTTTTTCCTCTTTGAGGTAGCTGTGTTAAACCTTCTCCCCTCTCAAGCCCCTGTGATACTGCTGTTCCTCAACTATATAATCAGTTGTCTCTTCTGTGTTTATGAACGTCTGGACCACGAGGTCTTCATCTCTCCCTCCTGTCCCTCCTGTCTTCTCTCTCCTATCTGCTTGAAGCTTTTTGTCCATAGGATTCTGCCTTTTTACCTCTTAGCATTTCAAAGTTTTTTCCATTAAAAGAAAAATCACCCATACTCATCAGAAGCTAGCCACAGGCCCTTCAATACTGTCTTTAAATGTTCACCCTCCTACCATTTTCCAGTGACTTCCATGAGTTACCCTGTGGGTAACTTGCTGATAGTGGCACTTCTGCCATGTGGAAATCTTTTTTACAGCAAGCTTCATTTCACAGACTGGATAGATACATCAAATTGGTATTGTATGTTTGGATAGATGCTAAAATATACTTTTAATTACAGTAGGGCCAGGCTAGGTGTCATGGGCCAGCTTTGCCAGGCTGGCCCATGGTCCTTAGTGTTGTTCTGAGTTCAGTAGGTTACTGTTCAGTAGGAAACCCAGATGAATTGAGAAATAGCAGTCTTCCTCTGCCTTGTCATATTCAGGTGTCTGTTCCCTCTGGGGTCCAGGAGGAGGCAGAATCATAGAATGGGTGAGGAGGGAGGGTTTGAGGGAAGGTAGAGCAGTGGTAGTGTTCTCGGCAGACGCTGTGATCTCTGTGCCTTAATGTTTCCACCTATCAAGTGAGAAGAATTATTGTATTTGATTAGGATTGAGAAAATTTAATGGGAATGTGTATAGAATGCCCTGAGGGAATGTAGTTGGTGTTCCATCTACCTGTCAGCTTTCCCAGAGTGAGAGCAGGTGTTTAGTTTGCTGTTTTATCCTCAACGCCTAGAACGGTCTCTGGCACCCAATAGCTCCTTTAAAAATTACTTTTGAATGAATGACTGGTGAGAGTGCTGAGGCTGTAAGCCTCAGAGCAGTGGGAAGAGTTCCAGTGGCAGAGCAGGGACTTCCTGGCCAGGGAAGGAGATGGCAGAGGGGGCACAGCTGCGGGGATAGGAGAGGCTGCAGGCCTGGTAGGCTTTACTTAAATGTAATTGAAATCATTGAGGATTTTCTTCTAGTTTTGAGACAGCATTACATTTATAGAAAAGTGGCAAGAAGGGTATAAAGAACCTTTTTCCTCAGTCATCTGTAAGTTGCTGATGTGATGCGCCATCACCCCATCACCTTTTGTATGTTTATTACAACAAGGACTTTCTCCTTCACAACCACCCATTGGGACAAGGAACTAAGGTGGTATGCTGCCACCCTGCAGTCCACAGAGCCCATTCATTGGCTTCAGTTGCCACAGTGATGATGTGTGTAACAGAGGGGGCAGGTGTGGCCTCCAGCCCTTGTCTCTTTGTTCCCCCGCACTCCTTAGCAGCTCCTCATTCTCCAACTCCATGGCAGTGACAGGCCAGTTCTGTTGCAGAATGTTCCTCATCTGGGCTAACTGATGTCCCTCATGATTAGATTCAGGTTTTGCCTGTCTGGCAGGAAGGCGCAGAAGCCAAGCTGTGTTCTTAGTACTTTCTGTAAGGAGGTGCGTGATGGTCACTCCCTGTGCTGATGGTAGTGGGCCACTGACCTGGTAACAGAGTGGGAAGGCCGGGCTCGCCAGTCAGGAATCACTCTTTTCCTTTTGTAATTTGCGAGTATTTTGTGGGGAAGTACTTTATAACTAAGTAAATATTAGGTTGCCTCTCATGGTGGCCTGTTTCATTTAATGGGTTATAATCTGTCATCATTGGTGCTGTCATCCCTTTTTTTATATTCAGTTGTCCAGCTGTGGCAGTGAGAGCTCTTATAGTGTGGGCCCTTGACCATTGCACACGTCCCTTTATCCACACATTGCTTAACTCTGCTTATCTTTTCCCTGCCTCAGCCCAAGTTTTAGCTTTTTCTCCAGAAAAGCCTCTTCTAGAGGGAGAATGTCACGTCATGTTTGAATGACATTCTTAGTGTACTGACTACCTTGAAGGTGTTGCTGTTCCCTGGCCTCCTCAGAAGACAAAGCTGGGGAATGCATACATGTGTAGAATGTATATAGACAGTGTTCACACACACAAGTTCACACCTACTTTATCTACCGGCTGTTTATATAAGTTGAACACCATAAATAATGCTGATATCTCCAGTCCCAGTCTAATACCACAGACTTTTATTCTGGGCTTCTCCCTTCTCATATCTACACTTCTTTTAGTATTGAAAAGCCTGAGTCCTCTTATCCTTCATATATTTACCCATTTGATCAGTTTCCTTGATCAGTTACCCATCCATAGCAATTGTCTCCCCCCACATGGTCCTGCAGGACTCTGGCACCCACATTGTTCTTTCCCCTTGTCTCTGACTACATGCAGGGTTCTGTTTTCCTTTCAAGGACTCTGCTGCCTGTTCCAGGCTCTGTCCTAGTTGAACATTCCTTCTCCAAATTTGGGCTCAGACAGCCTGTGCCAGGCAATCCCCTATGGGAACCCTCTTACCCTACTTAAGTCCTGATGCCCTACTCCATGCCCCTTCCCTCACCCTTCTCTCAGTGTGGACTCTCTCTCCTCACCTTTCTCAGTCTGATGCTCTGGTCTGGGTCTCCGCCATTCCTCCACTACCTTGCTTCACCCCACATGTGGTTTGTGTGGGAAAAGGTAATAGAGGACCCGGGCATTTCTTTAAAAGGTAACTACAGTTGTGTGGAGAACAGCTCAGAGCAGGGGGCTTTACTGGAGGTGGCTGCAGGGGCCACAGCTTGTGTGGCAGAGCCCAAGTGGGAGTGGTACATACACAATGGTGACGGAGTTCCTTGGTGCTGTGTTTGCTGAGCTTGCAGAGACAGGGAGCAAGTGTGAAGGCTAGCTCCTGGTGTCAGGGACCCTGTCTCCTCAGCTGGCAATCTGTTAGATTTGAAGAGTTTTATTAAGTCCAGCCAGGTTAGGTTCCCAGGCAGTAAGGAGTTTAACACTGAAGGTCAGAAATAGAAGTGGCTAGTTAAACTGATGAGAGGGTATTCTCATTCCCTCAGGGAGAGAACAGAGAGAGGAGGACCTAAGATTGAAGGGAAGCAGCCTGTGGAATATTTTTAGGTATCTCTGCAATGAGGTGAACTAGCATAATCAGTAAATGTGCAATCTACTTTTGATCAATTGCTGTAGAACCTTCTCGAAGGTCAACTTGTATGTCTACTTGTATATTTATAGTGACTAGGATTAGTCATTGAATACTTGCAATTATTTGGCTGTTTCCTCTTGTAATAGAGGTAGAAATCTGCCTTTTAATTCTCATGTGATTGTGGATTTTGTCATCAGCTCCTATCTGTTATCTTCTTTGGCAAGAAATTGTCTGTCTCCTGGCTTCTCTGCTTAAGACTTTCATTAGTTCTGTGTGCCCTTGATCTTGCTGCCTCTGGGGCAATGAGAGGGTGCTCTGCTCAGTGTGGCAGCCTTTTCCTTGACTTCTGTGCACATTTCAACAGAGCTGCCATGTCTTGTGTCTTGTGCACTGGGACTTATTCATTTAACCTTGTTGCTTTTTTGGTTATCTTAACATGAGCATTCTCAAATCTCCCTCATGTCCACATTACACATTTTAAACCTTTTCAGAGAAGTTGGCATTTATTCCAGTTAGGGTATGCTGCTTTTAGCTTGGAATTCTGGGATCAAATCACTCCAGGTCTTGGCTTCAGAGTTGTATCTTCCTCAGGTAGAATTTGTGTTTTTTTCTGGTCATTCAGGTCATCCAGAGAGGTATGGGCTTTGTCCATCAAAGCACAAAGTCCGTTTAGATTCCAATATGGACCAATGCTGGGTTTGCTTTGCTCTTTGGATGCAAGGGGCAGAAGGCCCCTTGGCTGGATATGTACAGGGGTAGGGGTGTTGTGGCCTACTGCGGGCCCTTTGTGAGAGTGGGAACCTGTGTAGTCTCACTCTGCCCTGGGTTCCCTGTCACTGGAAGCTGAACGAGGTGGTAAGAGGGTTGGAGAGTCAGTTATAAAACTAAATACAACTGAGTAAATGTTAAAGAGCTTATTGACTTTATTTAGTGATTCATGAATTGAACAGCAACCAGTTTAGCTGAGAAGAGCTCCGAATCTAGCTAAAGAAAGGAGCTCCGAAGAGCTGGGTCAGGTGAACAACTTTATAGGTAGAAGGGCATAGGAACAAGGAAGTTGGATAGACAAAGAAGGAGGCTGGTTCTTGCAAGGTTACTTTCCTTGGATGGAAAGCAGGATGTACTAAGTATGCTACCCAAGAGTGCTGGCTAAAGATTCCTGATTGATTGTGTTAAGGATTCCATGACTAGGAGAGCTGAAACTATGATTAAATTGAATCTCAATGTAGTGATGTGGAGCTTAACGTAGTGACTTCATTATGGACCTGTTGTCTTTTGTTTTTAAGTGGTTGCATCTCACATCATTCTCTTAGTCAGATGGCAAACTCTTCTCTCACTGTGCTCTCTTCCAGCTGTTTAGTCAGGAGACATTAATGAAGTTTGTGCCCCGGTACAGCCTTGTCCTAGAGCTCAGCGACAGTGGGGCCTTCAGGAGAAGCCTGCACGATCCCGATGGGCAGGTGGTCACCTACATCAGCGAGGTGCATGAACACGATGGACACCTGTACCTGGGCTCCTTCAGGGCCCCCTTCCTCTGCAGACTCAGCCTCCAGTCTGTGTAGACCCGGCAACTGCCGTGCCAGCTGCGTCACACCGACACTGCACCGGGGCAGGAGGCACTGTGGACACCACCTCCCCTGCGCCTGTGGGCCCTGGAATTGTGGTGCAGCCCGCAGATGTGCAGCCTCTGCAGAACCCCTTCGCCAGGCTTGACTTCACATTTAGTGGGAAGTATAACATCTGTCATAGGAATAAGTCCATGGAAAGCCATTTTCTCTTTACCAAACTTTTTGAAGTATAGTAGTTCTCTAAGGACTGGGGAGACTTCGTGCACTTTGGATGGGGCTCAGGTTTTGGTGGACTGAGGGTGATGGAGCTGTTCGGGGAGTTTGTTTTGGCTCCCTGCTCTCCTACCAGCTTCATGCCTTTATTATAAAATGGGATAATACCTTTCTTTGGGGTAGGGACATGAAAAAGGCAAGGAGAGCACAGCACGAAGGTGCCTTGAGGCCAGCAGATGAGCTGTGCAAGCTGAGACGTCAGAACTGCATCATCCTGAGCTGGGGGACGAGGCCCCGACCACTGGGCTTCCCTTCCCTGTGTGTCACCCTCCAGCCTGCTCTGCTCGGCTTCCCCCCTCATCACCAGTGGTTTTCAAAACTCCTGAGTCCTGTCAACCTGGGACTCCAGTGCCCCAGGATGGTATGTAGGAAAAGCATATTGATTCTAACAGCTCAGAGAGGACTCACTGGATTTCTTGCGAACAGTCATGTGGAATGGTCTGGTGGTGACTTGGCATAAGGGCTCACGTGGGAAAGTCCCTTTTACGCTCCCTTATTCCATACCTCTAGACCTGCAGATGTGCATGTGTTACTGTTATATTTGCTTGAGTGTCACAAGACTGAAGCTGCTGTGCATCTTGATAAATATGTCTATGCTGGTCATAATTTTGTCAGGGAGATCCTAGTAATGAGATCATTAAATGGCCTCTGCTGATTAGTCACTTTTGATGCCGTTACCTAGAAATTTTGTTTCTACTTTAAATATTATTTTTTAACAGTGACAAATACTTTCATCAAGTATCTGAGGATTGTTTCAGCTGGGGTTTTGCTGTAGGCATGAGTGGTTCATCAGGTTTTCTCAGGCCCTGTGACATGGCAGTGTCTTTAGGCAGCTAAGCAGCCGCAGGCATTGATTCACTCCTGGTCAAGTTGGCACTACACTCCTCCCGGTTTTCCAAACCACAATGTTGAGTTAATTGCAGTTCTTTTCTTCCCTGGATGTTTGTGAAAATACACAAGAGTTATGTCTCTGGAATGAGTTTTAATAACTTGACAAAGACAGTATTCTCAATATGTGATGATACTAGAATTAGAACAGTACTGAGAGCTGTGATAAAACTGGAACCATTTGTGTCTTGCCCACTGGCTGGCCTCGCTCTTTGCTCTCTTTCCCAGCAGCTGCCTTCCCCCCCATGTGTTGGTCTGGCCTCAAACTGTGGAAAGGGTCTGGAGTCCGATGCTTGGCTAGTCTTGTGTCACCCTCCTTGGGGCTGGCTGAATGTACAGCAACTAGAGCCAAAGGTCGATCAGTCTAATTGATGTGATCCATAGTGTACCAGATGAATGACTTAATATTGTTTATAAATTTATAGGAAAGAAAATTGAGTAGTGATAATTACATATTTTTTAATAGTTTATGGTGCATCTCATATATCTAGTATACAGGGATAATAAGGTACAATCTGACCCTTCTGCCATAAAAAATGTTCAGACATGCCAGTGTGTATGTAAATGCACTTTTAAGTTGACTTCTTGATTATGAATAGAAGGCTTTGCCTTTAGCGCTTAATTTTTATGGACACAAAGAAACTGGTAGATTGCTTTTCACAGTTTTCAGCTGAGGAGTCTTGATTTTGACTCAGGTGTTGATTTTGTATCTCAGAGTGTCATTTCCTGTATTTATCTGGCAATTGGTATGGTGAATTGTAAAATACAACCTTCCTAGGTTTAAATAAGTGATAATGCTTTTGTTGTAAACAAAATGGATTTGCTTTAATGTGAATTACTAACTTGCTCTTAAAATTAAATCATGATTAATTCATTGTGTGTTTCTTTATTTTACATCCTTGTTATATTTTGATGGTATAGGATTTCTGCCCCCAGTGTGGTCACTGTGGTGCTCCCACCACTACGTGTGTTCTGTTATGATCTATTACAGAAATATCACCAGGAGTCCACTATTGCCTTTACAGGACAGAGTCTCATTTTGAGATTTTTATTATCAACATGCACTTGCCAAGTGGCCTATTGTTTTGCAAGGATTTTCATGTACACTGAAACTTTTAGTGTTGCCAAGGACATGTAGCTTTGTATTATAGATGGGAACTCTCTGGGGTTAGTGACTTGCTTAGTGTCACATAAGCATGCAACTGACGTAGGACCTGAGCTGTGACTGGACTTGCTGAGGAAGCGACAGGAAGCACCGTTGTGTTTACAGGATGTGGCTCTGTGGTGGCCACTGCCCAGCCTTGAGGTCAGGCCATGCAGCACATCAGAAACATCTGGGCTGCCACAGCTTCACAGATGGTCCCCATGGGCAGTTGGGGGGCACGCACCACACCCTGGGTCCATCTAACCTACAGAAGGTCATGACTTGGCAGATGTCTTGATGACTTGGAGTAGTAGCACCAAATCCCTGAGTGTCTGTGTAAACACACTGGTGAGGAGGTGTAGAGGTGTGTGGCTGGGGAAAATTCTGAAATGCCTAGGACCAACATCTGTTTGAATTTTCATTGATTTTGATTATTTGATTTTTACTTGAGTAAAAGTTTTTGGCCTGAGGATACGGGGGGGTACTTTACATTTTCTCAGTGACAATAACATTAGATAATGACAGTTTTCCTCTGAGTCAGAATGAAGCAGATATGATTTAAAGAACAGGTGAAATTGGATTGGCAATAGGAGACTTTAGGTTACAGCTGAAGGCAACCACCAGCTCCATGTGATTATTTGTTTGAGTAGTTTGCATCTACTGCTGACTCTGGTACTTTTCAGGTGGGGTTCCCTGTGAGCTGAGTCTAGAGGGAACAGTGTCAGAAGTCAGAGTTATGCTGATGGAACAGGTGATGGAGTCACCTAGTCCTGGTGCCAGAAGCCACAGGGTATGTTATCTGGGAAGCAGGGACAAAATGTCTCCAGTGTTTGGGTTGGTAGATGCATCTCTGTGAAAAGCATAGTTGTCCCAGCTGCTGGTTGGCTTGTTTCTAGATAATCACGCTGACTCGCTGGCCAAGCTTTCTTTACTTTCTGGTGTCACTGTGGCTGGTTGAAGAGTTATTTAAGAACAAATGTTTTCTTGTATAGATCTTGTTGGGTTTTGTGGTATGGATGGCCCTTGAGGTATAATACATCACAGATTGGAAAACTGAAAGTGTAGATGATTGAAATAGAACCTTCGCATTACATTAGGAAGAAGATAACCCCTTCCTGCTGGGCCCCTGAGAGCCCTGAAAAGTTGGGAGCTGACTGGCCTCTGTAGTGGTCATTTTGCCTAACGTATAAGGGCAATGGATACCTGGCAACAAAGATGTGTTATCTGTGTTCAATCCTGACAGTTTCAAGGTTAGGATCTGAGGCTTCCTCCTAAGCATCCTCATTTCTGTGCTTGGATGGTTGAAGTGACTCTCAGTCAGCCAGGCCTTTACGTGTTCTGGCCCAGTTTTAATGTGTACGAGAATGGGCTAGGAGGTCAGAGCAAGGGTCCTCCCCTTCATTTGTGCAATGTCACTGAGCTGTGTCACCAGGCCTGTCTGCTACCAAGTTTATACTTTTTAAACACAACAACATAGTTTGTACTTACTTACAGTTGAAGAGGATCTGGAGAGGAATGAGTCTAAAATGAGTAGTCCCTTCATCTGGACCTCTGTTAACTGGGCAGGAGATAGAGTCATTTCTTGTCTGAGTGAGTGAAGCCTGAAGGCCTTTCTGGCTACCTGCAAGCTTCTGGGCTTCGCTTCTGTGGTTGAAACTGGCATGGCTTCCAACCTACAATGGTCTTTCCCTCCCCCCACCTTCTTCCCTTAGCTAGTTTCCCTCTCCTTTGGGGCTATGGAAGGTCAAGCTTCCTCTCCTGGGTGGGCCTGGGGGTGGGTAGTCCCAGCACTCGGCCCACCCCACCCGCCCAAACACAGCTGCTCATAGGCACTTCCAAACCCTTGAGCCTCGGACAGCAGAGAGATCAGGTAGAATCTAGGATGAGAAGAAAGCACCTCAGAGGTGGCCCTGCTAGTTCATGATGTGTATTATAGGCTGGCTTGTTTCTAGATATTCTGGCTTTCAATATGTTTTATGGGGCACATAATCTCTGGAAAATTCTCCTCCGTGTTTTTTGGAAATAAACTCAGTCCTTTTGGTGAGGTGACCCTTCAATACTTTCATCTCACCTTCCTGACTCTACTTTAACAGGTGGGGCAGTGCTTTGACACGACCAGTTCTTTAGTCATTACTTTATTTACCCACAAAAGGTCAAGATACTCAACATCAGACTTGGTCCCCTGCCCAGTGTGCAGCAGTTATTCACAAGAAACGGGGCCTAGCTGGGTTCTCTGCAGCCACCCTGGAACACCCGGAACCAGGTAGGAGGGGGCACACTGATGGCTCCCAGCCCTCCCTGGTGGCGCAGTGGGTTAAAGCACAGCATTAAGAAGCTAAAGCCACTTCTGCATCGATCCCCGCCTGTCTCCGCCTGCCCTGGAGGTGACCACATGGCGTGGCAGACCTCTCCTGACCTGCCCGCTGCTCCCCTCAGCAGTGTACTTTGTCTTAGCAATGCCTTAGCAATGCCTTAGCGCCTTAGCAATGCCTGCTGGGGGACCCAGTTCATATGCTCACACCCTGAAAAGCCTAAATAAAATTAAGTTTGGAAGAAAACATGGTCTGGATAATCAAGCCAAGGGGCATGTCACCTTCCATCCCATCCTAGGGGTGGTCCCAGCACTCTGCCTACCCCACCTGCCCAAACACAGCTGCACACATCGGGCACTTCCAAATCCTTGGGCCTCAAGAGAGCTGGGAGATCAGGCAGAACCTGGGATGAGAAGGAAGTGCGCCTGCAATGAACCCAGAGCAGACCCAGACCCAGTGGGCTCTCTTGGGAGGTGCTATTTCTGCAGGCTTGAGTGGAGTCATGTCTGAGAGCAGAAAAGCACAAAGTCGAGGGTGGGTGGTAGCTGGAGTCTCGCTCAGAGGAGGATGTTAGTGACAGTGGAGAACCGGCACCTCAAACTTCTGGAGCCAGGGGATGACCCAGACTTCAGAGTAGCAACTGAGAGTCTGAAACAAAGAAACACAGACTGAAGCCTAGTTTAGAGGCCGCCTCCCTCCCGCCCTCCAGGTAGGCTCCCGCATGCTACCTTGGGGCTCTCAGGTGTGTGCGTGCACATGGATGGGTGTGTATGTGTTTGCCCAGTGTGTGTGTTTATTTAGTTCTCCCTTGTTCCATGTTTTGAAAAATTTCAAACCTACAGAAAAATGGAAAGAGTGACTTAATTGTAATTTTCACCCACATTTGTAAATTACTCAATTTGCCACATGTGCTTGCTTTCTTCCTGCATGTGTGCAGGAAGAGAGCTGTCATTTCTGAATTACTTAAAAGCTTTTTGGCTTTAACTCCCCTGGAGTGGGTCCCTCAGGGAGCAAGTGAGCCAGGTTGGGTGACTGTGCTATTTCCATGTTCTCCATCTCTGGGCCTGGCCACAGGTGTGGAATCTGGGACCAGTAGTCAGAGAAGCCACAAGAGGGGTGTTTCCCAGAGGCCTGGAGAGTGGGGTGAAGGCAGGAAGGCAAGACCTCCCCTTTGTCTTACCCTCTTTAAGGTATGGTTGTTCTGGAAGTCACAGTTGTCCAGATTTGGATGCTCGGTTTTCTTGCAGGTAGTTCTGGCAATCTGCACATCAAGCATGTATTTCAGGCCTTTTACTATCTAAAGAGAACAAGAGGTAGGCCTGGTTAGACTGCTCTGCTTTCAGAAAGAGGCAAGAATGCAGGTGGTAAAGGTGCCGAAACTTCCATAAGGGGTCTAGGAAGAAAGCCTAGAGGTAGGACCCCCAACGCCTTTCTGTCTCCTTCCTTTATCCACTTCTTTTTTGTATATTTAGATCTGTTATATCACTGTGTGGTGTCCATAGAACTCCCACCACCAGGTCACCTGTGAAGCCTTACCACAGTCCCTTATGCTCTCTCTAGCCTGCTTTCAGAACCAGTTCCCCATCCCAGGACAAGGGGCAGGCTTCGTGTCTTGTTCTGGGACATCTCTCCCTGCACTGCAGTGGCGGGCACCAGCTAACTTGCACTGGGCTGCCCCGGGCTGGAGGTGACGCCTTGCTCCCTCCTGCCTGGACAGCTCACCTGTGGCTGTGCTGGCCGCCCTGGGCAGCAGTGGGGTCTTGTTTTACTTTGCTCTTTCCCTTCCTTTCCAAATACCCTTCTCTGCCTGGTGTGGCAGCAGCTTGGCTCATCCTCCTCCTTTGTGGTCCCAGAGGAGCTGGAGAAAATTCTGAGTCTCAAGTGCACTGGACTGTGGTGATGGCACATGGGTGATTTGGTGATGGGAAGCCCATGGGGATTATAACTGAGATGGAAAAAGGCACAAAATGATGTAAAAATAAAGTATTTTATACAAATAAAATAGTATAAAACTTTTATATAAAATAAAAAAAGTGAAAAAAAATACACTGCTAAAGAGAAAGAAGATGATAAAAGTTGCCCATAATGCTGTGGCCCCCAGAGTGCTTATACATGCAGGGCTGCTGGACTTTTGGGAATCATTCGGCACCTCCCTTCTGTGTACACCATGCGCTTACAGGAGTGTGGATTGTATCCAAGCCCTTCCCACACCTGTGATCACGCATGGTGTCCCTGGGCATAGCAAGGGCACAAGTTGTCAGGAGCCACCCCCTAAACGCCTCCTCAGCACTCTGCATCTGTGTTCCACACTGACCTCCTGTGCCCTTGGGACACAGCCAGGCCTGGCGCGGCCCTGTAGGGTTCCCTCTGGGAGGGGTAGTACCAGAGGGATGTGACTTCACAGGGGCCGACATCTGGGAAGATCTCAAGGTAGAGGGCTTTGTGCACTGGGGCAGGGAGCAGCTTGGGCAAAGGTCCAGGCTGTGAAGGAACAGGGCTCTGCTGGGCAGGGCAAGTAGCTTTTGGGGCTGCGGTGCAGTGAGGGCCATCCCTAATGGGGTGCAGTGGCCACAGTTGGGGTACAGCAGGCTTTCTGACTGTCTCCTCTCTTGCCCCCTTCACCCCACCGGCTGCCTTCATACTGCCCTGCCCGCCAGGTGCTACTCCTGTTGTGCGGCGGGTACAGGCCCGACAGTCCCACCCTTGAAGAAGTGTGGTTTCACATATGCAGGGTCTTGCTCAAAGAGATGACACTGTTGTTTTTTCTTTTTTTTTTTTGGTTTGCTGCTTGTGGGCTGTTTGTGGCCTGCTGTGAGCCTCCTGGTTCATATCTGTGTCCAAGAAGCCAGGGTACTAGCTGGCTTTGCCCCTGGTAAGGCCACACCTGCTGTACCTGGCCTCCTCGTACTGTCCCTGAGACACCGTGAGAAGCCAGAGCCTCACCTGGACCAGGGCTCTGCTGATGTGGGACTCCCTGAATAGGAAGATGTCGTCTGTGCAGTTGTTGAACCTTTCCACGCTGAGTCTGGCCGCTTTGCGGACTTCAGGGTTGTTGGTCTTTATTGTTTTGGGGAATCCTGGCTTCACGTCTGTGTGAAGGATGTGGGAGCAGAAATCTGGAAGAGAGAAATACAGACCCAGACATGAACACTGGTGTCAGTGCTTCCCTGGGCCCAGCAGTCACTGCTTGCATCTCGATGCCCACTTTCCCTCTGTTCATTATGGCCCTGGCACAGCCACCCTGCTCCCCGTCTGCCTGCCCTGGCCTCCCAGTGTATTTGTTGCGAGTCCTGGAGTGGCTTATACTTGATGCTGAGGACTGGAGTGGTGGTGGCGGTGATGGTAAGACGTGGCTCTGTCCCATATCCCCTGTGGTTGCAGCTTCAGAACCCCGCATTTCCATCCTGTCAGAGATATCCTGAACACATTCCTGGGGGAGGGGGGTGCTTGACGGGATGCAGACAGCATAGGCGTTTAGCCGGAGTGGCCTTACCAAGTAGGGCAAGTGCCTAAAGTCCAGCCTGCCTCTCATGGCCACTCTGTCCTCAAGAGATTCGGCTTGGAATCTACCCAGCTCTCGGGCTCCAGGCCTACTCACCTAGGGCCCCACTCCCTGGCCTTAACAACTGGAACCCCTCATGTACTCCCCGCTATTGTTTTGTGTACCAGGGCTCTGAGGATGGGCTGGGGTTGGTGGATTCCCTTACATAGCTGGCCCCAGAGTTGGCATGGGGAGGAGAGAGGCAGAGGTTCCTCTCACCCTTCCATGTTCCTGCTCTGAGGAGACCCGCATTTGGATAAAAGGTCAGGGAAGCAACATGAAGGACTTCTTCCCCAATACTGAACACCCCTCAGACAGCGGGGAGATACACAGAACCAGGGACCTCCAATCTCCTCCTCTGCTCTCTGCTTTCTTTGTGCCCACTCCCCCAGTTTCGCAGTCCCTTTCTGCAGAACCACATGACTTCATTCCTTTGTCCTGTCACTTACAGGCCTCTTCCCCTCTGAACTCTCCCAGTGCTACAGTTCAGGGACACACGGAGCTCACATGTCACAAAGAAGCACGAGCAGGCAGGTGCCTAGCAGGGATGTTGGGGCTGGCAGTACCACCTACACAGAGCAGGCCTGAGAGACAAGCACTGAGAATGGGACAGAGGTGTCTGAGGGCTTAGGGACCCAAGTGGTGACCTGAGGAGGCTGCCTGAGCAAGCACAGGCTATGCTACTTCAGATTCTGACCTTTGGGTTGTCCTACAAAGAAAATAATACTAAGAAAAACCTCACAGGCTCTGTAGAGCAGCAAGTCTTATCTGGCTCACAGGTGTTTGGCTTTAGGTTTCCCTGTCCCAATCTGTTTGCAATGATCATAAATGAATTTTTACTAAGAATTGCTCCCAGGTTTTGCTGCAATAGCAGCACACCAGAGATAACCTGGAGCTGTGCTGACTCTCGGCAGGGGCTGACCAGTCTGGCTCTTCACTACATTACATTACTGCACATCACTCACTACATGGAATTACTACATTGCACTCACTACATGAAATTGAGCTTAAACCTCAGCTCCTCAGTGGCACAGCCTGTTCTGGGGCTCAGTGGCCACACGTGGCCATGGCTGGCTCTTGCCAATGTAGACAGGAACACTGTGTCCATGCAGAGGGCCCCACTGCATGGTGTCACCCTGGAAAACTCGCTCTGCTTCCTTTGGTTGTGACCTTGGAGGACTCGTAGGTGCAGTTGTTCAGTTGGGGGAAGAGGGTGAACACAATGGAGACGCTAAAGCAGCAGGAAGTGAGACCCGTATGTGGGTAGCAGCAGCCTAACCAGATAAACTTCCGGACTCAGTGGGGGAGAGTGAAGAGACAGTGCTGGCCTGTGGGCTCTCATATCCCCCTAGAGCCCCTCAAAAGTAGCTGAGACTAGGGCATGCCAGGTGGCTTTTGGCTGTAGGCACATGCTGTCTCAGAAGATACAGGTGGCAAAGGGGGAAGGTTTTCAGGTAACTGAGATTCTAATTGGTTTTCTGGTTTGTGAAAAAATATCTAAATTTTAGGGAGGACAATGGCAGCATGAGTTCAATACAGCAGGGAGCTTTAATAGCAATATTATTTCTGGGGGCTGATCTGGGATGTCCCATTGGGTTGAGCCCCCAATTCACAGGAATTGTCAGAGGGAGCTGAGAGAAATACCTTTGACCTTGAACTAGGGATGGGGATTAGGTAGGGCCTGTGGGCTGACAGCCTGGACTGGAAATCTGAAATGCACAAGGACCTGCTTCCAGTGGAACAGCACGTGTGTGCTGTGTGGATGCCATAACCTTAAGGCACAGCCATGCCTGAGAACCCCTGTGGTGGGGGAGGAGAGAGGACAAGCTTTATGGGAGGCAGATTAAACATGTAGCTTTAGGGTTGGGGGTGTCAGCCAAGCATGTTGGACTGTTCCTAGGAGTTGGACCTAGCTCACAGAGGCCACAGCAGGTGAGAAGAGGGGCCCACAGCTCACCCCAGCCGGGAGAACTTGCCCTGATCTCATCCACTCAGAGTGAGGGTGCCAGCAGGCCGCTGCCATGGCTGGGGCGATAGCACAAAGCTTTCCCTAGAACCTGGACACAGACATTGGTGCACACGGAGTAGGAACCAGGTGTGGGGTAGGAACCAGGACACTCCATGCAGCCCACCTGGAAGGCCACCTTGTCGCCCTGTGGAAAGAGTGCTGGGAGTGGACAGAGAGGAGTACCTGGAAGTTCCTTGACCCTGAGGGCATCCTCTGGGTGGAGGGGTGGGGGGTAGGGGAGCGGGGCTGGGTTGGAGGTGTGTCCTGCTGTCTCTGTCGTCAACCTCCTTCATAAGGCCGTCAAGACAAAGTTCATGATTCCTTTACCGGGGTCCCTAGGCTTCAGTCACCCACAGTGACTGGGGTCCTCCATCCCCAGTGAAAGCCATGTAACTGGCACCTTCCCAAGAGCCACAGCCCTCTGCTGGACCGCATGCTCCTCAGAGTTTGTCTCCCACAAGTGTCCTCTGGGGTCTGCAACAACCCAGCCCTCATGTGAACCACAGACACTGGCTGATGTTCTCTGAAGACAGACACAGTAAAAGCTGCTTCTGCTTCTTGAGCACAGCAGCCAGGCTGGGGTGGGGGTGGGGGGTGCGTGGGGGGCCAACCCAGGGAAGCTGTGCTCTCCCAGGCTCCCAAGGTGGTTCTGACACAGGTGCTGGGGGAGGGGTCTCCTGGCTCTAGGTGAGGAGGGTGGGAGCTGGGCCAGCACTTTCACTGGCTCTGTTGACCACAGGACGTCAAGTGTGGCTTTAGTTTTAACAAAGTACTCTTGGAAAATGTCTTGGATTCTATTTATAACAATCTACACAGCAGAGGAGGAAAGAAGCCACCTTGTGAGAGGGACCAAGCTTTCAGTATCTTTGTGTCATCAGGGGTAAGGGGTAGCTCCACCTTATGGATTACTGACTGGCTATTTTTCTCTGTAATTTTTGCTTTTTCTGATTATAAGTTTACCTATTTGGGGAAGGAAGTGTGAAAAAAAATACAGAAGAGTAAGACAAGTTAGAAATTATTATCTCAAAGGATAATTGTTTTAAAAATAAAATGTATTAAATTGCATTCTGCTAGAATTGAACAGTATTTAGAAAATGAAGTGAAACTACATTTTATGAAACGTCAGAGGAATGTCCCTTCCAAATGCAAGATGCTAGTTCCTAAGCGGAAAAGGTCATGAGATATGTTGACACTGCTTCTTGGCATTCAATGAGCTATAAGTTCTTTAAAATGTGGCCTTCAAGGTAGGGATGTTTCATCAGCACAGGTAGCAAACAGTAAAAGCTCCTTTCTTTCTTCCTTTCTTTTTTTTTTTAAGATTTATTTATTTGTGCATACAGAACTGGGGTATAGGCCAGAGGCTCAGGGGAGGCGAAAGGCTTCACCAGAGACAGAGTGGGGAGCAGAACAGGCCGACTGACAAGTACACTGCTGAGGGGAGCAGCGAGCGGGTCAGGAGAGGTCTGCCATGCCATGTGGTCACCTCCCGGGCAGGCGGGAATCATGTGGAAGTGGTTTCAGCTTCTTAGTGCTGTGCTTTAACCCACTGCGCCATCAGGGAGGGCCCGAAAGCTCCTTTCTTAGTTGAAGAAGTTGAGAAGTAAACCTATTTTTTGGTGACTGAGGAGAAATTAACAGGGAAGTCTGACCACAAAGAAGGTGACAGGGTCCTCCATGGGAAAATGCAGCCGGACAAACATGCGCTGAGCCAGGGCCATGGCCCGGGGGTTAGCCCTCCCTGCCCAAGTGTGGCCTCAGTGCCTTCGGGGAGGGATTGGGGTCTGTGACACCCAGGTGACACTTGGGGGAGCAGGACGGCTCCCTCTCCGCATACCTCTGCAGGGGTGATGCTGTGCCCTTTCTTATTAGGCCTCAAGGGCATGTGGGGTGGGGTGGAACTCAGGTTCCATCACTGCTAGTGGCCACACTTTTTCTCATCAAGGAGTATTTGTGGCAGGTGCTATGGGCTATGCGGAGATAACTCATGGGCCTCTAGCCCATGCCTAGGAGAGCAGGTGGCACATAGTTAGGGGCAACTTCCTGGGAGGAGGCTGAACACTAAACAGATAGAGCTGGGTCCAGGGAGGGAGGCTGGGGGGGGGGGGCGCCCGGTGAAGAATCTGAGGTGAGGAAGAGTCAAATCTGAGGCAGAAATGAGGGAATAGGGAAGGCTGGCTGCGGGGGCAAGGAAAGCGGGCACTGAAACTCTGATGCACAGTGATGCAAATGGAAAGAACCCTGGGTGGAGAAGCAGGTCTGTGTGAAGATAGGAAGCATTCTGCATGGGAACTAGCACGATGGAGGCAGTTCTGTGGGCTCAGAAAGGAACAGAGAAAGGCCACCCCTTCCCTGCCCACCCTGCCGGCCTCCAGCTTGGCTTCCCAGGTAGCTGGAAGCAGGCAGAGCTCAGCCCCAGGGTCTGAAATGCAGCCCAAGCACACAGAGCTTCTATTACCTGGTGGACACTGGGGGCTCTGCTCCCGGAAAGGACCAGAGAGCATCTGGAACATACTGGAATGGGCAGATCCTCTCACGGGGAGAGGATGGCAGTGGAAGGAGGGTTTGCTGCCCACTGTAGGATCTGTCATACCAGCCCCAGGATGGGAGTCTTTACATAGGACCCCTTTAGTGCTCATAGGGAAGAAATGACACTAGCTAGTCTTGAAAAACTGACTCAGATGGTAAGATTGTGGGGTGGGAAGACATGGAGAGAAAAATTGGAAGACAGGGCACTGTGTCCCAGGAGTAATCAGGTGGGATGGGGGTTAGCCATCGGAGGCCCAGTTACAACAGTCCTAGGGAGCAGCACAGTGTGGGAGGTCAGCTTGAGACCAAAGACAGTGGGACCCACCTGGCTCATCTTGAGCAGGGTGAGTAGTAAGCTCTGTAGAGACTGCCCATGTGGGCAGGAGTCAGCCTTGTTGGCGGATCTTCCCTGCCTCCCGTCTTTGAACAGCTGGACTTGCTGCAGGAATCAGGACCAACTGGGCAACCAAGATCCCCTAGGTCTCCACATCTCTGGCCCCGTGGATTTCCCTGGGCCACTTTCTTCTGGAAAGTCATCCCCTATCTGCTTCAACATTCTGTGACTTCAAGTAGCCTAGGAGTCTCTCCTCTCTCTGGTGGTCTGAATGGGAAGTAACATTTCAAGGAATCTTCTGATGTTTCTTGCTTAAGAGTGTGATTTTTCCAATGAAACCAGAAATGATTCATATACTGACACTCCTGTTGCTGTTCCACCTCGCAACTCTTCTTTGGAACTGTGGTCCTGTCCCCAGATTTACTTTTCTATGTTTGTGCTCCTCAGGCCAGCTGAGGCTCTGCTGCACCGTCCTCCTCCCCAAGGGGTGAGCTCCTCCTTGACAGCCACTAGTGTGTGCACCTTTTATGAGAACATCTGTCACATCAAACCCACAGGTGATACTAGAGCCCCGAGACATGACATCATCAGTAATGGTGTCAGTTGCAGCCATAAATGTTTCCATGTGGATCAACAAAGATGCAATTTGTCCTCAAATTACCACCAAACATTCAAGGCAAATGTCCAAAAAGAGGTGTGGGCCAAAGACTCCTGGACAAAGAACAGCTGGTAAAGTAATCCAGCAGTGAATGTTCTGGGTACACAGGTCTCCATTTATTTTTATGAAGAACTAAGACATATGGGATGCCTGTTCCAAGGATGGCGCTTGAACCCCGGGTGCTGGGCACCAGTCCAGGTACTGAAGCCATGGCCCTTGGGGAGAGCGCCTGTTCCCTGGCCTACCCTGCTCACCCTGATGAGCTGCCCTGGGAATCTAGAGAAGGGAGTGGGGTGGGAGTTTCTGCATGTGGAGGGAAAGGGGGTACTCAGCAGAGGTTGGGGGTTCCCACCACCTTCTTTCTGAAATGTTCTAGGTGTGGCCTGGAGGTGGAAGGAATTCCAGCTTGTGAAACCATCCCTGCGAGAGGAACCAAGGTGCCCAAGAGCCAAGCACTGAGTCCCTGCTGGCACCCCCCACCCCCACTGGCACCTGGGGTGGCTTCCTCTTGGCAGCTGCTTGCTTGGAGAGCAGCCCTTGGTTTTCCCCATCTAGCGTCATCAAGCCCTTGACATGAGTGGGGAACTGGGCCCTTAGGGAGGGCCCCCCTGCTTCTGGAGTAAACAGTCTGGAGAGCTGTGCCTAAGGATGGTATGTGGGGTGAAAGTTAGGCTTAGCAATGCTGATGTCCATTGTTACCAGGAGATGTCACCCTTAGTCTTACACCCACTGCTCCCCTCTATGACAAAAACTCAGTCTGAGTCCTTGCCCTCCTTCTCAACACCAACCACCACAGCCCCTGGGCCTGGGAGATGTGAGTAATGAATAG